CTTTACACCTCAACCAGGCCTTCGGCAAACAGCTTTATCAACAATGCCACCTCACTCTCTCAATGACTTGCAACCCGAGACGGATGTGCCAGCAGCTGTGCCTGCAGCACTCTCAGCGAGCGCTGTGCAATTTCCGCGAAGCGAAAACTCGCCTCATACGGAACCCAACATTCGAGAGCTCTTGCAGAAGCTGAAGCAGTGGCGGCAAATTCGACGCGAGCACACCTGGTCTCAAAACGAGGACTCGGCGGCAATGGACGCACCATCTCCGCCGGAAGCTCCAATGTCGAGTCCTCCCAAGAGAAAGGTCCCCGAAATGGAAGCTGGGACGCAGGCTGACACGATGATGATGTTACAAGAGGAGGACCGGCCGGTGCGGAACAAGGAGCCGGGATGGGGATCGACGCATCCTCGCGGCGACCAATCTGCGAGCCCGAGTCGGAGGTACTTTCGGGTTGAAAATCAAATAGTCTTACCTGCTTCTGAAGGCGGAAACTGGAGCACTCACCTGCCCGACAAGGTTCGGTTCCTCTCCACATTGGCGCACGCGGCGGACGCGGCGCGGGACGCGCAAGGGGCGCCACAAGAGGAGCAAGGGGCGTCGCAAATCGGAAGCAGCGGCGGAAGCGCCGGCGTCATGCTATTCGGAAGCAACATTTCGGTTTCGCCGCCCGCAAGCCGCGATTTCCAACATCCGCGCGGCACGGCGGAACCCCTCGAGAGAATGAAACAATGGCGCGCTGGCAGAGCAGCATCGTATTCCACCCGCGAGACAGCAATTTCGTCAGACCCTGCTTTGGGGCGCAGCGCTTCCGCAAGAATATCGACGCCTGCTGGCGGCATGACAATGGTCGACCGCGTTTATGACGCCGCGAACGCCTCTCAGCTCCCCACTTCGAACTCCTACCCTACAGCTCGAATTCGCTCGCAACACAATGCGGCCTACTACACACTAACGACGGATTCGGCGGCAGCGGCGCAGCCGGGCGCTACTGCCAACACATCGGCGAACTTTGGGATTGCCGACGGGAGGTCTCCACATCAGTGGGGCGTTGCCGCGGCGAATCTCACATCCGCGGAGGTAAACCCTGCGAATCTGGCGTCTGCGCGATGCCTGCGCGAGACGCACATACGGGACAACGACGACGCGACTTTGCGAAGCGCGACAGACCCCTCAAGACCTAGTCATACACGCCACGAGACGTTGTTTCAAGAGGTCGCGTCGCGCTCAGCGATGGATTTCCGCGAAACCTTCCCGAGCCTCGGCTGGAGCGGCGGCGCGCTGGACAGCGCCGTCCGCCGCGGCGCAGCGGAAAGTCCCCCGCCCGCAGGAGAACGGATGCGCTTGGTCGTGCAAGCGCTCCAGGACGAGCCGTCGCCGCTAAACCCAGAACCTAGCGGAGGAGCAGCTGATGCAGCAGCAGGAATCAGTGGCTTCGCGTTCGGCAGATGGCCCTACACCCCTGCCGCGCTTCAAGCCCTGCTTGCTCTGCACGCCGCCAACGCCGCGGCACCGCGTGTTGCGGCTAGTACCACGCAGCCGCCGGGGGACAGCGCGTCTGCGGCGGTAGCACTATCACGCCGTGCAACTAGCATCGATGCGCAAGGGGGACTAACCCTAAACCCCGCGAGTGCGCCGCTTGACCCGCCAGCGGAGGTTCCCCCTCCGAGGGGAAACGTCCGCAGGTTCGCTGCTCCGACGACTGCGGGGGAAGCAGCGCCGGTGAGGTCCAGCCCAACGCGGCGGAATGCAGGGAATGAGCGCGGAGCTGCTAGTGCTACGGGGGACGGATCGACAAGTGCGACGGGTGGGGCGCTCTTAGCGGATTTGGGCGACGGGGTGAGGAAAGCTGTATCGCCACGGCGACGGTTTCGCTGTACAGTGTGCGACCGTCGATTCTCGTCGGGGCAGGCGCTAGGGGGGCATTCGCGCATGCACGCCATGCAGCAGCGCGCGGAGGAGGAGATGGGTCGATGAGCCGCGGATGCGGTGTCTGGGGTGGCAGGAAGGCGGACGGAGGGGACGCTCTAGATTTCTATAATTACAAACGATCCCCATTCCCACTCTCACGTAGCTAATGTACATCCCCCCCACGCAAGACGTTGGTGGGTCACGTCTGATTACGGAATACTGAACCCTTACAGAGCACAGCGGCAGAGCAATGGGCTTTTAGGGATGCTTTTAATCATCTAGGCATGCGGAGCCCGCTTTGAAATCTATTATGCAAAGAATTGGTCGAAAGGAGGTTAGCGATTCGAGCTGGGGTTTCATCACGTAGCCATGGGCTTTTAGGGTTGCCTGCTGGGTCACTGAGAGGACCGGCATCACCGGGCTGGCCCACAACGGTAGTACGTTGCGTATGGGTGTCTCGCTCCACTTCGCACAATCAGAGCTGCGCCATTTCCCAGCTGAGACTCTTGCGATGGTTATTTCACAAGTACTGTAGAGCTTGGCTATTTTGCTTCCACTATTGTTAGAACAAAGCTTGTTTTGATATATCTACATATATACGTTTATTCTGAACCTGCTTATGTGCACATTGCATTACAAGACAGATCAACAGTCTTGGATCCCCTGCAAGTGGAAGAGGGGAGAGAACACCGCAAAACGAAATGTCGGGAGCTTACCCAACTTATAACCCTCCTCCAACCAATTACCAAGCATAATAACTGCGAAAGCAAATGCAGAAGGCTCAAACGTTTCGAAACTTGCAGCCCTACACATTGCCTCCCCTTTCCTCCCCCCCTCATCCCCTGCCTCCCCCCCCCTGCTTCCGCTCTATATCCCCTCCCTTCCCCATAAGGCCGCCCCCCACTCTTCCCCTCTCCCCTTACCACCCCATGGCCATACTTATTGGAGCCGTGTGAGCCGAGAGCAGCATCGCCCGAGGCAGAGAAGGCCCAGATGAGGCGGTTGGATCCGAGGTAGGCCACCGGGGCCACTCCTGCCTTCCCCCCACTTCCTCTCACCATCCCCTCCCTTACCCATAAGCCCCCCCCTCACTCTTACCCCTCCCCTCTCCCCCCCCCCCCCCTCCCCCTCTACCACCATGGCCATACTTATTGGAGCCGTGTGAGCCAAGCGCAGCATCGCCCGAGGCAGAGAAGGCCCAGATGAGGCGGTTGGATCCGAGGTAGGCCACCGGGGCCACTCCTGCCTTCCCCCCACTTCCTCTCACCATCCCCTCCCTTACCCATAAGCCCCCCCCTCACTCTTACCCCTCCCCTCCCCTCCCCCCCCCCCCCCCCCCCCCTCCCCCTCTACCACCATCGCCATACTTATTGGAGCCGTGTGAGCCGAGAGCAGCATCACCCGAGGCAGAGAAGGCCCAGATGAGGCGGTTGGATCCGAGGTAGGCCACCGGGGCTATTCCTGCTGACCCGCTTCTGGTGAACCTGCCAGGGCGGAGGGTCAGAGGGATTTTTTGAGTCAACGCAAAATCATATCCGGTTGGATCCGAGGTAGGCCACTGGGCCACTCGTGCTGACCCGCTTCAGGTGAACCTGCCAGGGCAGTTGAGAGCACGGATGCAGTAGTGTGTCAGGTTGGGGCAGATATTGTGCTCGTAGGCCACCGGGGCTATTTTTGCTGACCCGCTCCTGATGAACCTGCTGCGGCAGATGCGAGGACGGATGCGGTGATGGGTGTCGGGATGGGCAGATGATGCGCATGTGGGGCTGGGATGTGCCATAGGAGCCACGCCTGCTGACCCGCTGCCAGTGAACCTGCCAAGTGAAGGAGAATCAAAACGGAAATGAGCGGAGGCGGGCGGGGTGAATGAAAGAGAGGCGGGAAGAGGCAGGGAGAACTGGGATGATGCAACCGTAAGCTATAACCCTCCTCTGGGAGAGTTTGGCCTGCTTGACGAAGCCTAGAGGAGACGGGGAAGGAAGGGGATAACTTTAGCTGAGGGCGGGGCAGAGTGAGCGGTGCGTGGGAGAAGAAGTGAAAAACACTTGATTCAGGCAGCATCAGCATGCGACAGCCTCTAGAAACAAGGCCGATAGAGGGCAGAGAGCAATGAGGGGCCAGCCTCCTGCAGGTGCATGGAGCTACCCTCATTCGACGGCCAGCCAGCAGCAGCTGTTTCACACAGCATCTCGGTGAGCCTTCAGTTCCTCCTAGACGTTCGTCAGACACATCAAACGGCCCAACAGAACGGATCGACCCAACGGCTCGACGCAACGGCTCGACCAAACGGCTCAAACAAGCAGCTTGTCCTTCCATTGGCGCTTTGTGCACATCCATGATGAGCAGACATGGGCCCTGCTGCCTGCCACGTTGCTGCATTGCAGTGTCGATGCTCCCTCCCATACTGCCTCACATACCACAACGCACTTACAAAAGCAGCACGTCTTTGAAATGCTTACTTAAGCAGCACAGCACATCATTGAAGCCTGAGTTCACCGACCCTCCCATGATGGCAAACCGAGTGGTGGGAGTGGCAGATCTGTAGCTGGAAATTGCGTGCGTCTGAGCTTCACCCCCAGGCCCTCCAATAAAGCACTTACTTGAGCAGCACGCCGTTGAAACCTGAGTTCACCGATCCCCCACTGATGCCAAAGCGAGTGGTGGGTACTACTACGGAGCTGTAGCGTGCAATGGCGTAATTCCTGGCCGCATCCCCAGGCGCCCCATTGACACACTTACTTGAGGAGCACGCCATTGAAGCCTGAGTTCACCGATCCTTCCTTCATGCCAAGCCAAGAGGTGGGATCCACAGAGCTGTAGCTGGAAATGGCGTACGCCTTGGTGGTACCCCCAGGTGCGCCAATGAATCACTTACTTAAGTAGTACGCCGTTGAAGCCCGATTTTACAGACCCTCCGGTGATGGCAAACCGAGAGGTGGGATCCACGGAGCTGTAGCTCGTAATGGCGTACGCCTTGGCGGCGCTCCCAGGGGCCCCAATGACGGCGTCAGCAGGGACCATGGCGCCGCCCCTTGACCATGCCACTGACACCCACCCTCCCGCCGCTGCTGCAACACCATTCAAACACTTACTTTAGAAGCACGCCGTTGAAGCCCGAATTCACCGACCCCCCTGTGATGGCAAACCGAGAGGTGGGGTCCACAGAGCTGTAGCTGGAAATGGCGTACGCCTTGGCAGCGCCCCCAGGCGCGCCAATGACGGCGTCAGCAGGGACCATGCCGCCGCCCCTTGACCATGCCACTGACACCCACCCCCCTGCTGCTGCTGCCGTGCCCGACTTGGCCTGCAGGCAGAAGGCGGCACTCGTTGTGGTGAGGAGCTTCCAGTGCAGCATGAGCCTGGGGGGGAACAGGAGGGGGTGAGGAGGGGAGGAGAGGAGAGGAAGAGAGGAGAAGAGGAGGCGAAAGGGTGGAGCTTCAATCTGCCTGGCTTGGCCTGCCGGCAGAAGGCGGCGCTTGTTGTGGTGAGGAGCTTCCAGTGCAGCATGAGCCTGGGGGGGACGGGGGGGTGGGTGGGGGGGAGGGGAGGAGGAGGGGAGGATGAGAGAGGGCGGAGCTTGCAAGAGGCTGCCTTTGCCGTGCCTGGCTTGGCCTGCAGGCAGAAGGCGGCGCTCGTTGTGGTGAGGAGCTTCCAGTGCAGCATGAGTCTGGGGGGGAACAGGAGGGGGTGGAGAGGTAGGGGGTCAGGATGCTAAAAGGGCGAGGGGTGGGGCTGCGGTGGAGCTTCAATGTGCCTGGCGGGGCATGAAGGTGTAGGAGGCACGTGCGGTGGTGGAAACCCCAGGGTGTCAGGATGCTGAAAGGGGGAGGGGTGTTGTGATGCACAGCTGGCATGGATGGCCGGCGATGGACGGCATAAAAGGTGGGAATGACGCAGACTGACTTTTCCGATGGAGAGCGGTTTGAGTTGCCCGGCTTGCATGGGTTGCAGGTGCTGAATTGGAACTCAGGACTGAACTGGATGATGCAGTGCAGACAGGCTGTCGTAGGGTGTGCAAGAGGGGGCGAGGACGCGAGCGAGTAAAAGAAGAGTGCAGAGAGACAGGTGTTTGATTGGGTTGCGAGCCGAGAAAGAGATATGAAGAGGGAGGAGTATAACGAGGGCCGAAAGGAGGGCGACATAGAGGCTGAGGAAGTTGAACAGTGCACGGGGCTCTTGAGGATGAATGCCAGCAATGCTGGGCTCGTCACACAGCGTCGCCCCATGCCCCATGCCCCTTGCCCCATGCCCCATGCCCCATGCCCCATGCCCCATGCCCCTTGCCCCATGCCCCATGCCCCATGCCCCATGCCCCTTGCCCCATGCCCCATGCCCCATGCCCCTTGCCCCTTGCCCCATGCCCCATGCCCCATGCCCCATGCCCCATGCCCCTTGCCCCTTGCCCCATGCCCCATGCCCCATGCCCCATGCCCCATGCCCCATGCCCCATGCCCCTTGCCCCATGCCCCATGCCCCATGCCCCATGCCCCATGCCCCTTGCCCCATGCCCCTTGCCCCATGCCCCATGCCCCATGCCCCATGACCCTTGCCCCATGCCCCTTGCCCCTTGCCCCATGCCCCATGCCCCATGCCCCATGCCCCTTGCCCCATGCCCCATGCCCCTTGCCCAGGGTAACTCACCCCTTGCCCAAGGTAACCACGGACGTGTAGCCAGGGAGGCTGGAAGCAGAGCAAGACGTCTTGCGGGAGCCGAGGCAGGACGAGGCGGGCGGGGGGGAGGGGGTGCGGGTGGGTGGAGGAGGGGAGGGGTCGAAGGAGGAATCGCTATCACCACCACCATTGCCATTGCTGTCACCATTGCCAACATCGCCAACAGCGGTGCAGGAGAAATCGACGACTGAGATGCCCCTGAGGGGAGCAGATTCCAGGGAGAGGGGCACGGGGAGAAGGCAGAGCAGTGGAAGCAATTTTGAGCTTCTGCGGCTGTGGAAGACTGTCAAGGGGAGAGGCTGACCAGTGGAAGGGCGGCAGGGTGGAGCGCTGCAAGACGAGCAGTGACGCAAAAAAAGGTGGCGGTCATATGAGGGAGGTGAGGCGAGGGAGGAGAGGCTGACCGGTAGAAGGGCGGGAGCGTGGGGTTGGCGGAGGAGTCGGTGGTGTAGGCCCACAGCAGCCGGTTCCTGCCGTAGTAGCTCACTGGCACTGCCCCGTCTGATCTCTGACGTGTGAACCTGGCTTGCAAAGGGGGTTGAATAGAGAGAGGAGTGAACTGAGTGTGAGAGGAGAGGATTGAGTGCTGTGAGGGGGGTTGGCGGAGGAGTCGGTGGTGAAGGCCCACAGCAGCCGGTTCCTGCCATAGTAGCTCACCGGTACTGCCCCGTCTGCCCTCTGGCGTGAGAACCTGGGTTGGTGGGGAAAAGGGAGGGGAGTGGAGAGGGGAGGGGATGAGTGGAGAGAGGGGTGAATTGAGTAAGAAAAGAGTGGATTGAGTGAAAATGCTGGTGGAGGGGGGATGACGGGAGAGGGGAGAGGGACAGGGGACGAGGGTGGGAGAGGGAAGGGGAGTGGAAGAGCGGAGGACGAGAAGGGAGAAGGCGGGCCACGGTGGGCTGGCCGATGGAGAAACCTGGTAACCTGGTAACCAGTAACCAAACGAGCCAGTACCCCCACACGCTCACTTCATAACAGCGCCACTGAAGGTGGTGTGGAATGCTGTCCGCCCCAGGGTGAATGGTGATAGGCACCTGGTAACCTGGTAACCCCACCACCTGGTAACCTCATCACCCGGTAACCCCCCCCCACCACCTGGTAACCTCATCACCCGGTAACCCCCCCTACCACCTGGTAACCCGACACTCACTTCATGACAGTGCCACTGAAGGTCGTGCGGAAGGCTGTCCGCCCCAGGGTAAATAGGCGAGACACCTGGTAACCTGGCAATAACACCACCTGGTAACCCCACCACCCAGTACCCCCACCACTCACTTCATAACGGCGCCATTGAAAGTCGTGCGGAAGGCTGTTTGCCCCAGGGTAAATGGGCGAGACACCTGGTAACCTGGTAACCTTAACACTCGCTGCAGAAGGCCGTTCGCCCCAGGGTGAACGGACGAGACACCTGTAACCTGGTAACCCCACCGCTCACTTCATGACGGCGCCATTGAAGGTCGTGCCGAACGCCGTCCGCCCCAGGGTGAACGACGCCGTCTGCGCGCCTGCCGCCCCGGGCCCGCTGATTGTGAATGCGGCCACGGTACGCCGCCCGAAGAGGTTCCCGAAGATGGCGTCGCTGGGGAAGGGCTGCCCCTTGCGCGCCCACGCCAGCATGAGCCATCCGCCGCCGCCCGCGCCCGTGCTGCTCCGCTCCTCCACGGCGAGCTTGAGGGCGTCTCGTGAAGTGATGGTCCAATGCAGGATGTAGCTGTGGGTGCGGGAGAAGTAGGGAGTGGGGGATACGGGGTTCTGGGGATCGGGGGGTGCGGGGAACAAGAGAGCTCCCCTCAACCACTGCGAGCTTGAGCGAGTCCCGTGACGTGATGGTCCAATGCAGCATGTAGCTGCGTGGGAGGGAAGAGGGTGAGGGGAATAAGGGCTTGAGAGAATTAGGGGAAGAAGAGAGCTCCTGTTCTCCACGGCGAGCTTGAGCGAGTCCCGTGAGGTGATGGTCCAATGCAGCATGTAGCTGCGTGGGAGGGAGACGCAGACACACGGAGCGGGGGAACAGGGAGCAATCAGGTGGGGAGCTTGAGGGCGTCCCTTGACGTGGTGGCCCGATGCAGCATGTAGCTGCGGGTGTGGGGGGAATAGGGAGTTGGGGGGGAAAGGGCTTCATGGGATGAGGGGAAGAAGAGAGCTCCCCTCCTCCCTGCAAGCTTGAGCGAGTCCTGTGACGTGGCGGACCAATGCAGCATGTAGCTGCGGGTGTGGGGAGGCGCAGAAACAGGGAAGCAGGGGATCAGCGGATTAGGGGAACAGAGGAGTGGGAGCTTCGCTGCGCTCCTCCACGGCGAGCTTGAGGGAGTCACGTGGGGTGACGGTCCAATGCAGCATGTAGCTGTGAGGGCGGAAACAGGGAATGCGGGACGAGGGGATTAGGGTCGGTCCAATAAGGGATGGAAGGGGGCCTCGTCTGCTCAATACCGGCCCGAGTGAGTCCTTTTCCGTGCCGGTCAAGCAAGGGCTTGAGGGGATGTGTTGATGAGCGCTTGACGCGAACAAGAGAGTTCCGCTCCTTCGCTGCGAGCTTGAGCTGACGAGGGGAACAAGTCGCGTGACGTGGCGGTCCTACTCAGCATGTAGCTGTGGGTGAGGGAAGAGGGGGTGGGGGGTTGCGGGATGAATGAAGCGAGTGGGCCGTTAGGGATCAGCGATTCGAGGAATCGGGGATACAAGAGAGCTCATCGGCCCGATGCGACCTTGAGGGCGTCCGTGGCGTGGTGGCCCAATGCAGCACGTAGCTAGGGGTGCCGCGCGGCATGCTGAGAAACGGGAGAGTAGGGGAGGGGGAGGGGGGGGGGAGGGGGGGGGGGGGGGGGGCGGGGGAAGGATGGATGGAAAGAGGAAGGCGGGAAGCAGGGACGAATTGAGCAGGGGATCCTGATAGGAACCGGGGACGAGGGGGTGCAGTGCAGCATGAAGCAGGGGGGCGGAAGGCAGCGGTGAGGCGACGGGGAGTATTGTTAGACGCAGGTGGCATAGAGTGTGTCTCTGGACCCAGAGGCCTGAAGTCGCATGTGGATGGGCATAAGCGAGTGCTGCCACCGGACATGCGACATGATGCGTTCATGACACATGAAAAGTGCCACAGGCGACTACAAGCATTTCGCGACATGCGACATGCGTTTCGCGAGATGCGACATGCGTTTCGCGACATGCGTCATGCGTTTCGCGACATGCGAAATGCGTTTTACGACAGGCTACATGCGTTTTGCATATGGTCGAATAGCATGACGCTGCACGCGATGCAGGCTCCACGTAACCTCTGGCCGATCCCGCTTTCGCAAAGCGGAAAGCGCAAGGCGGAAGAGGAAGGCGGAAGGGAAGAATAAGGCGGGACGACAACCTCCTGGGCCCCCCTCCCTCGTCCCTACGACCTGTACTCGTTACAATACGTACCCGTTACCCGACAGGTCGACCATGTTGGAATAGCCCGCCATCGTCGACGTCTGACACGCCGGCGTTCGCCGCAATACTCGCCGCGACTCAGAGATCCCCCGCCCCGCCCCAGAGGGGCTCCAGCCATCATCCCACAGCGATAGACTCTCGTTGAACAGCGCGTCCCACGGCGGCCGGGCTTCAGCCGGCGAGTGTACGTCAGATGTGGCGGATCCTACGGCAATGACGGAAGCAGCAACCATCGCAGTGAGTAGGTACAGGGCTATGTTGACGAGGAACGAGTGCGTTGTTGATATGGCGGACGCGTGGCGCTGGCGGGGACGACAAAGGGAGAAACGTCGGCGACGCGGGGCGAAGGAAACAGCGTAGCTAGCTAAATCGGAAAGGGCCGTCGCCATTACTCGTTGCGAGGAAAGTCGGGAAGAAAGGCGGCAACGTCGTAACGTTAGCACGACTCTACAGGATCGGATTTCCTCCCTGTAGTGCTACTCTGTGACCCTGGTGGTCCCGGAAGTTTTGTAAGTCAACGCTCTGCTAAGTCCGCCAAAGCGAGACAATTCCTACCCTGTAGTATGACAAGTCTGCGCCGTGGGGAGTGGCTGAGGGTGGTAAAATACCGGTTAAAGGCGCCGGAGAGAAGTGATATTGGCAAAAACGAAGCAAGCAAAGCAGTGCTTAGCGTAGAACCTGGTTGCTGGCTTGCGTACGGTGGACGGCCACAAGGGGGTGAGCTGAGAAGAGGAGATCACGTGTGCTTTGCAAACTTGTGCCGCGCTCCGCCGTTTTCAACCGTTCCTCAATGTTCTGTCATTGTTTTCGGGGCTGTGGGCGTGAATGATGGTGGTGCATGAAGGCGCTTGGAGAAGGAATGGGAAGTCGAGTCGCCAATTTCCGCAACCAGGCACATTGGCGCACCGTGAAGGCAGGCAGGGAAGCCGAAGCGCTTCCCCACAACATCGTCTTGAAGTCAAGAGAAGTGCGATATCCGCCGTCCAATCACCACCGACAAGCTCAAGTCCAATTTTCGTAACGGGCACATCACATATTTTGGACGAGGTGACGAGCCACAAAATATTCTTCCCTCGGCTCCAAGACATTGGTGATGTTCACTAACGAAGCTCTGGAGCAAGCCGAAAATCCAGCACAGAAATATTTTAGAGTATAGTAGCTACAGAACTAATTTACACCATGCCCAAAAACATATCGTGGTTAGCTCACTTCTGGAACGTGGTAACTCCACGTCATTTCCATCAGTACTTATGGCGCGAGTCAAAATTGTGCTAGCACAAGCATTGTGTGTGGCAGGACGAGTCACGTGGTTGTGCTGCACAGAGCGATGCGTTACGGATGAGTGCATGAAAGGAATTACAATCCCTTATTGTAGACTTAGCGGGAATATTCAGAGGGTGTCACGCCATTTGGGTTCAGCCTACAATTTTGGCCCGAACCACTCGCTAACTTTCCGAGCCTAGTTTACCTCAAGACCCTCGCCTATCCCGTCTCGGCATATTTTAGCCTCATTTTAGGACTTTCATATGATAATTCTGTGGTTCAGACCTTGTGCATTTACGCTCGTTTGTGAAACCTGTGTCATACTATATTTGTTATGTAGTTTATAGGCTAGGATGGTTAGTTATAGGTACTCTTTAGAGAGTATATCACCTTTTACTTATGTCATTGTACTCGCGATAGTGCATACAATTCTCTCTCTCAACATGGTATCTTGTTAGGTACCGTATATTTTTGTATATAAGACCTGGTGGACTTTCTACAAATTCCAGCAAAAACGTGAAGGTAGACATTCTCGCAGATGGTGTAGCTTAAGACACGTGTACTCTGATTCAAATTATCCTTTTATTTGGAGTGACCCCAACAACCGAAAATCACATGGGGTTGTATATTCGAGAACCTCAAACAAATGGCTAGTGTACTATGTAAAGGTGCACGTATCGCGGCAAAGGAGTACCTTGACGTTATCACTTCTCGTTACTCCACTCCTTTGTCTCCTACTGTAGGCTGGCTCGTCATGCTGTTTCTCTTTCCTAACCTTCCCACTTTCCACACTGTCGCTAACCTTATGACTCACCTTCGTTCATTTGACGCTCGCTCCTATGATGCCTGGACCACTGAGCAGCTCGCATGTTTCCCCTCCCCCATGTATCTCGCCCTTCACCTCCTTGCTACGAGCCTCCCTGGTCCCCTTGCTACTGCACGTGACGCTCTCCTCGCTATGCACCCTATTGAGCTTACTCTCGAGCTCTTTGAGACTAGTCTCATTAAGATTGAGAGCCGCTTGTGCACCATCGCTACGACGACTGGTGAGGTGGTACCCACGATCTTTGAGGGGTGTGCTCCTTCCCAGCTCACTATCTCTGTTGGCTCCGCTGCTGTTACGGAGCCCATTCCTGTTACTAAGGTCGCAGCTACTTCTTCTGCCTCGGACGCGTGCGTCCTCGTGGTGGAAGTTGTCAAACTATATTTGTTATAGTTTGTATTGTCTAGTCTATATGGTGTACTACTTTGTTAGTGCTAGGGTTAGGTTTTCTATATCTACCCTTGTACTTGCTCATTATAGTAATTCATTCTCCCGTTCATAATTTGACATGGTATAGAGCCTAGTTCGTTCCCATGGGCCCACCGCCCCGCGCCCCGTTCGTTGCTCGCTCGTTTTAGGGTTTCGTCCGATCGTCGCTCGTTAGCCACCCGTAGTGCCCACGCCGCCCGTTGGCTCGCTCCTTTTAGGATTTCGCCCTTCCGGCGCCCGCCAACCGTCCGTTTGAGGGCCCTTAGCCCGTTCCGTCACGCGCCCCGTCACCTTGTACGCCCCGTCGACCCGTGCGCCCTGTCGCTCCGTAGCCCATCGCGCACCCCGTCAACCCGTAAAGGCCGTCGCGGGCCCCGTTCCGTCGCCCTGTACGCCTCGTCGCCCCGTAGCCCCGTCGACCCGTGCGCCCTGTCTCCCCGCAGCCCGTCGCGCGCCCCGTCGTCCCGTACGCCCCGTCACCCCGTCACCCCGTAGCCCCGTCACCCCGTCACCCCGTAGCCCCGTCACCCCGTCACCCCGTTCCGCCGACCCATAGAGGCCGTCGCAGGCCCCGTTCCGTCGCCCTGTACGCCCCGTCGCCCCGTAGCCCCGTCGACCCGTGCACCATGTCGCCCCGCAGCCCGTCGTGCGTCCCGTCGCCCCGTAGCCCCGTCACCCCGTTCCATCAACCCGTAAAGCCCCCCCCGGGCCCCGTTCTGTTGACCCGTAGAGGCCCTCGCGGGCCTCGTTCCGTCGACCCGTAGAGGCCCCCGCGGGCCCCGTTTCGTCGACCCGTAGAGGCCCCCGCGAGCTCTGTTCCGCCAACCCGTAGAGGCCCCTGTGGGCCCCGTTCCGTCGACCCGTAGAGGCCACCGCGGGCCCTGTTTCGTCGCCCCTTTTGGCCTCCGCGGGCCCCGCTGTTCCCCCACCCTCGTCCCCCGCCGCCGCCGTCGCGTTTCCGTCACCTAGCGCACCCTCTCGCCCCCCCCCCCCCTCCCACCCTCCCCCCCCCCCCCCCCCCTCCTCCTCCTGCGATTTCCTTACCTAGGCCACCCGCGCCCTGCTTTCTTTTAATGAAGAATAATTCGTATAAAAAAATTAATAGAAAAAAGGAAAATGCGCCAGCAACCTCCGCTGGCGCACTAGCAGCAGCATAGACCGCTGCCAGTAACAGCATAGGCCTTCCTGCCGCCCGTGATGCTGTTTCTACTGCTAGCATAGGTCGTTTCTAGCTCCTGCCAAGGCGCCCGCTAGAGTTCTGCAGCAGCAGGG